ATCCACATAAGCAAGTAGATATGTAGTAGTATCACCTAAATGGAGTATGAATAGAGAGGTGTCTGCATGAGAGTTGGTGAACCCAGACTCAATGAGGAATTGGCGAAGTTCAAGGTACCAACCCCGTGGGGCCTTCTTGAGTCCATATATAGCCTTCTTTAATTTGCATACATGTGTTGGATTGTCTCGATCAACAAATCCTCGAGGCTGAGCCATATAGACATCTTCGGAAAGATGGCTTTGAAGAAAGGCATTATTAACATCCAATTGTCGCAACTGCCAACCTCTACTGACTGCCAAGCTTAGAACAAGGCGTATTGTTGTTGGCTTGACAACTGGACTAAAGGTGTCATCATAATCTACTCCAGGTCGCTGATGAAATCCTTTGGTAACTAATCTGGCTTTGTACCTGTCAATAGAACCATCAACAAGCCGTTTAATTCGAAAAACCCATTTACAACCAACAAGATTCTGCAAAGAAGTAGATGGAACAAGCTCCCAAGTTCCATTTCGAACAAGAGCATCAAATTCATCATTCATAGCTTGTCTCCATTTGGGATCTTTTAGGGCTTGGTTAATAGTATGAGGCTCAATGTCGGATGGTTGAGGAAGGATAGCAGTGAGAGTCATCTTGGTTAGGGATTGGTGGATGTTGTTTTTCGCTCTAGTGGTCATGGGATGGGTATTTTGATAAGTGGTTTGAGCTGTGGTTGAAGTAGAAGAGGTCTCAGAATTATGTGGTTCTAGTGGTAAACGGCTAACCATGGTTTTTTGGCGGTCAACTGAACTGTGTCTGAGTAAAGGGAGGTCTATGGACAGAGGTCGATGATCGACTGGTGAGGAGAGTTGGTCAATTGTTTGGGCATGTTGTGACGGATGTTGACACGAGGAATCCTTTCGTGGAGGCATATTGAGTGAGCCACTTGAAAAGGGTAGAATTTGGACCGAGAGAAGCCATTTGGAAATGATCTCTGGGGTGAGACGAGAAAGATGGGATTGGTGAGTGGTAAAGGGAAAAGAGTTTTCAAGAAATTTAACATGATGAGAAATATATATTTTAGAAGTGGACAGATCAAGACAGATATAGGCACTTTGTGTTGAAGAGTAACCAAGAAAAACACAAGGAGTGGAACGAAGTCAAGTTTATGTTGAGAATAATGACGAAGCCACGGATAACATAAGCAATCGAACACCCGAAGTTTAGTGTAGTTGGGTTGAGACTCAAATTGTTTTTCAAAAGGAGATGAAAGATTTAGTGTGGGTGTGGGCATACGGTTGATGAGATATACAGTAGTAGCAAAGGCATAAGTCCAATAAGTTAGAGGCATCGATGTATGAGTGAGAAGAGATATGTTTCAACAATATGGCAATGGCATCGTTCGGAAAGACCATTGTGTTCGAGTGTATGAGGTGGTGTAGTAAGATGGGATATACTATTGGTGGAGAGAAAATGATTAAGGACTTGATATTCACCACCGTTATCTGAATATAGGGTAACAATTCGGTGTTTAAATTGGTTTTCGACTAATGTCTTGAAGCGTACAAAGACATCATACACATGGGATTTCCGTTTAAGTGGATAATACCAAACGTACCGAGTATAATGGTCAACAAAGATAACATAATATTGAAAACCATCAACAGAATAGACAGGAGAGGTCCATACATCAGAAAATATAAGTTCAAGCGGATGGAATGAGGTTAAGGTAGAAGAAGAAAAAGAAAGTTTGTGACTCTTATTACATGAACAAGCATTACAATTTGTGAAAGAGGATAACGGACTAGATAATGGTAAAGAAAACTTGGAAACAATATTTTTCATAATAGTAAATGATGGATGACCTAGTCTAGAGTGCCAGTCAGACAAAGTGGTCTTGACACTAGAAAAGGCAAGCAATGGTGAGGAGGTAACTGAAGGGGATGTGGTAGGCCACTCATATACGCCATCCTTAGGTTCGACCATCAAAAGGATTGCCCTCGTGTTTAGATCCTTCACCTAAAAAACAGGGGTGAGAATTCAACAGAAACATGGTTATTAGTGCAAAATTGATAAATCGAAAGTAAGTTCTTTTTCATGGAAAGGACACAAAGGACGTTTTGTAAAGTAAAGGTGAAAGAGGAAGTAGGTATGGTGGTAGAACCAGTATGGGTGATGTGAAGGGTCGATCCATCACCGATCATGACATCATCAGATCCCTGATACGGGCTATGAAGAGAGAGATTGCTCAGGTCAGATGTAACATGGTGAGATGATCCACTATCCAGTAGCCAAGTAGGAGTAGTGTTGTTGCCAAGGACAGCATGATTGGCTCGTGGTTGCCAGGATGTGGAGGGGCGATATCCATGAGAGCCTTGAGGACGAGGTGTTGGGGATTGTTGATTAGTGACAAGCCGAAACATTGGGCATCGTTTAGCAGTGTGTCCTTGAATGTCGCATGCTTGACAATGACCCAAGTAAGGTTTGGGTTGGCATTGATCATGAGGAGAAACCATAGTGGCAGGGCCTGATTGTTGTGGATTGGCGGCTGGTGGACGCCAATATGGACGATTCCGGAAGGCTGTGGGATTTGCCGTTGCAGGTAATGATAGAGAAGATGGTTGAGCGATTTGAAGATATGCTTCCTTGTTGAGAAGTTTCTCATGGAGTTCAGCAAAAGAAATTGATGTGTCACAAGCATTAATTGCATCAATGACAGATTTGTACTCATCACTAAGTCCTTCAAGAACTCAATCAATAAGATCCTCATCATCAACTAGCTTCCCCAGAAGAGCGAGTTCATCGGCACAAGTCTTTATCACCTACATATATTCACTAATTGATTTTGAGCCTTTGTTACACCGCTTTAATTGTTCCTTCAATTATTTAATACGACCACAGGATGGTTTGGCGTAGGTATGGGCTAAGGTTTGCCATGCATCAAGGGAAGTGGTGGTGCGGGCAATAAGCGGTTGCAGTGAAACGGAGATAGCACCAAGGAGAGCGCTAAAGATGAGATGATCTTGACGCTTCCAGTTTGTGTATGCTGGATTTGGGGATGCAACACCATTGGTAGTGACAGTGGGTGGTGGTGGAGTGTGAGTGCCATCAATGAAGTGATGAAGATCATAACCTTCAAGAAGTGATTTGATTTGAAGGCTCCATGTGAGATAATTGGTGGATGACAATTTGGTGATTTTGGAGAAATTGATTGTAAGGAGGGGATGGTGAGGATCCTAGGAGTTTTGGATGGTGATAGGGTCGTTGGTGGAAGAGGAGATCACTTCAGATGCCATTGAAGAAATAATTTTTTTTTTTCGTGGTTGTCTGGAAAAAAAAAACCCAAAGAGATTAGGCTCTTGATACCATGTTGAAATATAGAGAGGAATATTGAGAAACAATGGCTTGACTTTTC